TTTCCTGCTTTGAAGTGATTAAATGTCTTTGAGGGGATTTGGGTTGGGTGGGGAGGAGGTTTGGATGTGGAAATCTTGATTGTACCTTGTGAATGCTGAAAAGCGGCAAATAAAGTGTTCTGTTCATGTCTTGTTCACTTCATTTATTCATTCATGTTCACTGTTACAAATACTGTATGTAGGCTCAAATCAAAGTTTTCTTTAATTCATATTAAATTTTGTTTTTCATAAACAAAATAGTTGTAATCTTTAGGTAAAAAATTTAAAACTTTGGAAAATTCAAAATTCTCAGCTTTAATTGACCCTATTTTAAATTGAAATCCAAAACTTCCAAATTTTAGACATTTATAAAAATTAACTGAAATTTTGTCTGCATGTCTTATTCAGAAAGTTTTTAGCTTTCTTAAGAAATCAAGATTTGTGTGGTACTTGAGTACATATATGTGCCCATCATTATATTGCATCAGAAAGAACACTGGAATCCAATATCAGTAAATTTCACTTATTAAATTCAAAAATAAACTTGCCGCCAAGTTTAATACTTTTAAATTAGCTCCATTTTACAGAAATAAAAAAGCTCCTTGGGTATTTCTTACCTACGTCCAATTGGGTAGCCAGATGAGCAATGTAAGATGTTGCCAGGCGTAAGGTTTCAATTTTTGACAGCTTCCTGTCTGCTGGCTCAGTTGGTATTAGAGTCCTCAGATGGATGAAGGCACTGTTGACACTTTTCAAAAATTGAATACAGTAACATGAGATTCCACACATGGGCTGTGATTTAAAATGCATCTTGTGATCACCTCTGTGTTCTATCGCGCTCTCTTGCACTACTTCTCATGCTGGGGCAACCGGAAACTTCTGGTTTATGACCCATAAACATGTTCCTCACTCCACAACTCATGCCTGTGCAAATGTAACATTAGATAAAGATTTTAATTCCAGGACTGCACCTGGGATGATTTCGAAGAGGGTTTTTCATTTCCGAGGAAGCAGGGAAACTTGACCAAGGTTGTAGTTACATTTAAAAGTTTTAAATCCAAAAAATTCACCCAGGTAGAAGGGTGGGCGAAATTGTGATTTCAAAAATTGGCCCTGCCGATTTTCCATCGTCCATCTAGTTTCATTCAAAATTCGCGAAAATTAAATGTTTCAAGAACTAATTTTAAGCGTGTATTTTAGAAAAATCGTCTTTGATTTCGAAACAGCAAAAAAATCATGCTCGGAAGGAACGTAAGAGTATAGAACGTTTTCAAAATTTACTATTACAGTATTTTGTGTTTTTAACAGTCAAAATACCATATTCAACCTGCATGTTTTCCTGGGCTTCAGTATAAAATTACGGCTTGAAAATTGATTAGTTTGAAATCAATCAATTCTGCCCAGCCTAGGCTTTCAACTTTCCGAATTTTAAAATTTTCAGATACAACGATACAGGAGGCAAAATTAAACCCTATTTTTTTCAACTTCCTCATTGTTTTAAAAGTCCAAATCTTCACCTCAAAACGCGTAAATTTGAGCATTTTTTTTCAAAAATACTGACGATGCCTTTCACGATAGCACAGTAACTTCAATTGTAGGGAATTTTTGTAAAATATAGGCAGCCAGATTAAATGTATGTACTGTACGCTTCTTTATATTCGCATCTCAAATCAAATCACTGAGGATTTTTGCAGTTCCCAAATTCTGATGAACACCACAAAGTTTCAACACCAACTGAGCCGTTTTGCTTCAGTTTCGGTCCGTTGAAGGAGCAGGAAACCAGGCTTTAACGACACCCCCGACCGGCGACAACGAGATGATGAGCGTTTTGAAAGACGGTTCCTGGGGTCTGGTACAAATCTATCCCCCACATCCTCCCTTTCCGGCTTCATTTCTTTTTTTTTCTCCAAAATGAAAAGCCAGCGACAGAATTCTTAGCGGAACTATGCATCGGAAAGAGAGGTTTTTTAAATGAAAACTTTCAGCCATTCGTACTTTTTTTGTTTGAAAAATTCTGTAAAAGTTTGACAGGGCAATGCAAATTGTAGATTTGTTAGCTGAAACAGCAGAACGCTGACTGGATTTTCGGCACTGCTTTACGCCGCTCATTTTGTATTATGATGATCTACCTTTTCTCTTGGAACACGAAAATTTGGACCAAACTGAATGTTGAAAAGCCATATGTGAAAAAGCATGCGCAAAAATCGTTCATAATCTGGATACGGCAGCATTGATGAATCTAACTTATCTGCGTAACAAAGAAGCTTGATGGTGTCTACCAAAATCATGCCGAAGTAACTCATCAGGAAATTATGTCAGGAATTTTTAAATTAAAAAATTGATAAATTAAAAGCGGTTCAAAAGCTTCCCTGATTTTTTGAACGGTTTTGTGCAGCTGATTTTTCTGTAAGGGCTAAGGGAAAATTTGCAAAAATTATTCTGCTAATAAAAAAACGTCATTCAAAATAATGTTTCCTGTCCTAATAAATTTAGCTTTGAAAAAATCCACTGTTTTTGTTTGATGTGCTAATTCATCGCCTCCCCTCGGCGAAATTTTGTGAACTTTCAAACTAAAAAAAAAAAACTGTACTTTATTTGGGCATCTTTCACAGAAAACTTGAGATTTCCGTCTAAATTTCCGACTTTTCCTAGGCAGTTAAAAGTTTTTCTTACCCCAAGATTCCATGAAAAAAATTCCAATCAGCTATTAACTAGGTAAAGAAAATAAAAATGTAGCTTGACTTATCTCTTGAAAGTCTGTCAAGATATTCAGTGAATAAGAACAGTACTTTCTACATCAATCACAGTAATGTGAGACCAAGACTGAGAAACATGGGTCTGCGATAGTAAATTGGTCAGGATTGTTTTTTTTTTTTTTTTTCTCCCTTGAGGGGGGACTTTTCCGGGAAGTATGCGATAGTAATTTGGTCAGGATTGTTTTTTTTTTTTTTTTGCTCCATGGAGGGGGCACTTTTCCGAGAAGAATGGAAAAAAAACGTTGGAAAATTTCCAATAAGTAAAGACATGATAGTCTTTTTAACTTTCCTCAAAAATAAAAGTGTCCATATATAAGGAATAGTTTGTGCGGCACCCACGGGAAGATGCCAGTAGGAGAGCGAAGTCTCATTCATCTCACAGCTTCCTGTCGCTCAGAGCAGCGCCGTGACGACACTGATTGCTGTCGCACGTGAATCCGTGTGTGGTGAAGTCGTTTGCACCAAAGACAAACGACACACCCCACACTTCTCTGCTCTTTCTACTTTTCCCGCTGTTGGTGTAATGTCGGTCTAACCATGATATTCATGCATATGCAGGAGCGGCACCTACTGACTCTGAAGTGTTCTAAATCTGAACACTTGAAGAAAAGTTTTCCAGTAATAAAGAGGGCTTTATATTTGGCTTTATATTGGGCACTGATTTTATTTTTCTCTTTACTAACATCAACTTCATAAATGAGAGAGCAGGTGGTGATGGAGTTGCGTCAAAATTGACATTTTTTAAAAATAATTATTCTATTTATTGGGAGAGTAAATAATTATTTTTTATTTAGGAAAATAAAAAAAATTCTCACCAAAAATTGCCCAGCCATTAAAAATTATTTATTGGGAGAGTGAATAATTATTAGAAAGAGTGCTGAAAAGCAAAAAATATGCTATTTCCCCCAAATTATGAGCAATTTCCAAGAACGTTTATGGGTTTATGTTGATTGTTTTCTGAAAAAGAATTGTGTTCATAAAATGCTGAAATCCAATTGAATAAGTATTCTTGGGGCTGCACTATGTTAGTGGTTCCCAAAATACCTGGGATATTTCCTGTATTCCAATAAGTTTAAAAAATCGCCTTTTATGAGGGTCGTGGATTTGTTTTAATGTATCCCTCAATTAGTGGAAATAAGTGGTGTTTGGCCAGGAAATGACAAAGGGTTTGAAAAGGAAACACAGACGGTCAGCCATTATGTGGCTGGATCATCCTCAATAGATTTCCTTCAGAACCAATTCAGGCAAGAAGAACAGGAGAGCGCAGGCACAGATGCAGCAATACAAAGCTGCAAAAATACCTTCAGGAAAAATCTCCTATAGCAGAACACAGTCTAACATTCACACACATTCAAGAAAAAAATAATCAATCCTCCCTCTGGTATGAGGTAAAAATTTCAAGTGAAGTTACCTGCCAGTCCCTACTCCTTCTTTTCCCCTGAAATCCTGTATTGCCACTGGTTTGCCTCATTGTTGCAAACTAGTCATCCAGTGGAACTTCTGCCACACACATGCCTGCTGCCACATGCATGGGTTGCACCCTAGAAAATTCCTTTTCCCATATGTGGCAACATCTCAGATGGGACCCAACAAGTGGTTCTAAATTTAGGTTGGCGATTTGTTGAGGTTCTTCTTTGTGATCTTCATAGATTTTCCAGAATAATACAGTATTTAAAGGTTGCCTGAGTAATCTCAGTCCCAGAACCAATATGGGCATCTGGGGCATTTTCCTGGTAACTTTGTGTAAGGACCCTGCAGCAGCGACATCTGCCGGCGCTAGGCTGTGTCAAAATTCGACAATAGTCAGAAATTTAATTCAAGAAGAAAGAGGTCGACTGTTGCAATGAAAAGCCGCTGTTTTTCGTGTGTCCTGGTTCTGCACGCCCTTAGTAGACAAAATTGTTTGATTTGAAATATAAATCAGACTTTCAAACATTTTCGAAGTGGACATCCGCTTTGACATCCTACTTTTTATTGTGCCGTACAATGGTGTAAAATGGAGTCACTCAGTTCTGTTGACAGATATACTGATGCCACTCAGGATTTGGGCCAATTAAGAAAGCCTTTCTCCAAGCCATGGGTTGGAACATGCCCTGAGTTCAGTCAGTATATGGATCCATAACACTGTAAGGCAATAACACTCAGCAGAAAATGTTTCGGCGGAAATCTCTCTAGTTATGTTCAGGGCTGTATGCTGGGGTCGAAAAAAGAACTGTCAGTGGTTAACAGAAGAATTGGAGAAAATATTTCCCAAGACGATCATGAGGGAAGTTTTCCAGTTCCTATATACAGACTTATCTCGAAGACATGGCTAATCAGGCAGTTGGTTCCTTCCAGCAGGAGGCTGGGCCTCTTGTTGAACGCAAAAAAGGACAGTTTTTTTTTATTTTAGTGTCCTACAGGAATAATAGAGCTTTGTCAACATTGGTAACGCTGTCACCCTTATTTCTCATCCATAATGTTTTTGTATTCTCTAACTTGTAGTGCACCTAACATCAAAGAAAGTTTCCTTGATTTGGACTGTGTTAAAGCTTATGCTGCTCTAGAGCCAGGATTTTTTGCGGAATTGTCTCCCTTACTTGAAATTTTAAAAATATCAAACTAGTGAATAAAGCCCAAATCCCAGAAATATTCATCATTTCTTTTTTTAGAAAAAGTTTGGAGTTGAAAAATCTCTCTTAAGGCTAAATTTATAAAATCTCTGATAGGATTTGCTTTGGGGGTCTGTTGGACATTCCCAATTTTTTTCACTTGACTTATTTGGAGACTTCCTGATTTAGGCCACTCTACTCAGTTCATTATCAGTGATCTTTGGTCGAATCAAAACCTGGTATAGGCTGAAAATAAAATAATTATAGTAGATTAAAAAATTAATCTAAAAAACCACATTTTCAAAAAGCAAAAAATAACCTTAAACATGGTGCGCATCTATTTCATTTGTATTTCACTTCTTCTCAACAATCTCCATGCGCACCACGTTTAAGGTTATTTTTTGCTTTTTGAAAATGTGGTTTTTTAGATTAATTTTTTAATCTACTATAATTATTTTATT